CTTGGAGGCGCCCCTGTACGTCATACGTGTTTACAATCCTTGTACAGTACTGAAAACTAAAACAATATACTCTACGTACACAGACGTTGAATGTCTCAATACCAACACTCTCGTGAGCCGTGGCTTTAATTAGTCATTTTTTAACTAATTAATATTCGATAACAATTATTGTTAGTTTATATAATCCACTATATTCCAAGAATTAATTAAAGCATCTTAAAAAAATATTAAGGCATTAGTGCATTACCAACTTGGTAATACCAAGTCTCACAATTAAATACAAAATACATTTTGTCAAACTTTTAAATATCATTTAGACTTTTAATTTAAAAATACATGTATCCAAATTAGGAAAAGTCGCTTTGCGAGATAATGCTACATTCCCAGTTTCAAAATATAGTTTAATAAAATTTAAGCTAATATGAATCTATATAATGTAATACAATCTATATAAAAATCTATTTCCAATAAGTTAAATTAGTAATCATTTAGTTTTAATATTATCAACAATTGTAATTATATAGCCCAGTACAAATAATCGTAATTATTGAAAAAAAGTAAATATTAACAATCGTAACTGCCTATATACATATAGTATGGTAATTAAGGGACAGATGGACACATCGGAGAGATAACACATATAAATTAAGTTGTATGTACAATGTAAAACAGAGGTATATATAATAGTATATACATTATACTTTGGGAATTGAGCAATTTTCTAACAGGAAGTTGTCTTTGGCCCAGAGCTTTTAGATACTATTCTAGAGACCATTACACAAATACATTTATAAAATGTTCCAAGATTTTTCAATTTTTATTTTTATGCTATACTTACTTGATGTATAATATATATTATTTTAATAATTTATATGACCTTTATTGAATTTATCGAGATACATATAAGGCTATATAACTTTTAAGTTTAAATTCATATAAACCCACAAACCCTCGAAATCCTCCTAAATATTTCATTAGATTTWAAAAAAAAGGTATTTAATAGATTGCATAAATCAGACATGAAAATAAAAGCTATTAATTTAGGTATGATATGTTCAAAAACTGTATTTAAAGTGCGGTAGGCTGGTGGTGATGAGTCGAATAAAATGGAAAGAAATTTGGGATCATTCGGGTTTCTGATGCTTTGTTCTAATTCTATAATTTTTTTTTTA